TTTAAAGGCCAATTGCAGTGGATCAGGAGCCTTGCTGTTGATGATCATTCCAGCTGCCGAGTTCATTGCAAAAGAGTTTGAACTCGAGCAATTTATGCCCAAAAAGCAGCCAACTCGAACAGAGATGCTGATTAACCTTTAGCCTAAAGATAAAACCTGCTTCTGCCCCCCGAAGTCCTACTTTCTCATTCCTCTCCTGCCACCACACGCACATGTGCAAAACCCAAGTTCCTAAACAACGATTCATTTCAACCCGGGTGGAATCCTGCACCTTCCTATCCACACACAAAAACCTACTTCCACAGAAAGGGAACTGTAAAGCGCTAACAGCGGTGGACTGTAGTGTTCACTGAACACTTCAGTGTCTATTATGTAGTAACCGCTTCAGGCAGGAGTGCAATGGGTCTATCTTTTATCAATAAAATTGGCCATTCACTTCATGGGTGTTTGCGAGATTTCGCTGTGCACAAATTGGCTGCTGTGTTTTCCTTCAAATACGCATGCACTACATTTTGCAGTGAAATCCTGTGAAGTGCTTTGAGATGTCTCGATGACGTGATAAGTAGCTGTATCAAATGAAAAGATTATTATCATTTCACCTGCTCACCAGTTTACCACAGGGTTCCTCTGATGCATCTTTTTCTAAATAGGAATCCTTGGCGTTGACAGAACTCTATATTTTCCGTGCCTCACCGCTGTTCTGCATAGTTAAGAACGGATCATTTCTGAAAATGTATAAATTTATCAGTAACTCTTTACGCATTTTAATAGGTGTGTGTAAAGGGAGACTGAATTGCCCGTTAAGACACCTTTATTTCAATACAGTGGGTCTTGCTTTGCACAGCTACTGTTCCAGACAACCCTATCCTTTCCAGACAACCCTATCCTTTCACGTTCCACTCTAATCTCTCTGCTTTGGCCTGGATACTACAGGTCACAAGATAATGGAAATTCCAAACATTCTTAGCAGCGCAAAGCTTGCTGTTTATTACTTGCAGGATTTTTTTCTCTCTCCTTTTCGCTGCTTGTTTTCGTGAAAGTCTCCAATTAAGATTATTGTTTAGAGGAGGAATTTGGGGAAGACAAGAAGCTGTGTGCGATAATTGGATTGCGGGGTTGGTTCTTTTATAGGTTTAAAAAAAAATTCAAATAACGCTGAGTTTGCTGAACTCAGCTGGGAGATGTTAACAAAAGCATTGTGCTTTGACTCATCACACATGTGTGGGGGCAGGAGGGAGAAAAATATTAATAATCCTTGAATATGGTATGGCGTCTTTCATGATAAATGCCTCAAAGTGCTTCACATCCTCAAAGCGATTTGCTGTGACTTATTTGTAGTCATGAACTCAGCAGCTAATTATTTGCGCACAGCATTGTCGACCTAACAGTGATGTAGTGCAAAAGTTATATTCCTCAGATCTCCTGAAATGGATGAATGGAAATGGAAGGGAAAAGTACAAGCGAGTACAAAGCCAAGCTGAGAGATTTTTCTAGTATCGGGTTATCAGCCAGTTGATTATCAAATAATGATCACGCCTGTTGAAATTCAGGCATTTATCTTGTTTTTGGTTTTTTTCCCCCCATCGGGCAGTTTATGATGCTGGCAGGCTGAGGGTGTCGATTTATTCTTTGACAGTCCTGTATAAATGGCCATAAATGCTGCTTGTTAACAGTCTGGTTCCAATCCAAGGGTGTTTTTCTGCCCAATACAGCCATGTGATTGCTTTTGAGGTTGTTACGCAAGTGTAGCCCACAGCTGTGCCTTGGCTTTCTGTTCCAGGCGCGGGTCATTGCTGTTTGCGCCGTCCCTGGTCTAATTGTGTGAGCGAATACACCATCGCAATTTTGTTGGGGTCAGCCGGGTGTCTTGACGCGTTGCGGAAACCCATTCCCATGCTTGAGGGTATGCAAACCAAACCGAGAAATCCACGCAGCCCACCTACCTACACATGGAAATTCCAGAGACAGATTGTTGGAATGGAATGCGCTCTCTCTCCCTGGTTCCTTGTCCAGTTAGCACCACTCTACCCGTTGGGGCTTAGGTTTGGTGGGTTAACAGGATAGACAATAGTTGGTTGGTTGACATCTGACAAGAACAGGTTTGAGCCCTCGCTGGGTATCAGGAACTCCCTGTGAGATTCCTGCCAGAAAGTAAATCCAACTCTTTAAAAAAAAAGTTTGCATTGACATCCTACCGCCGCGGATGTTTTTTAAAGGCCCAGCGGACTAGCTTTCGAAGATAGGCTGTAAAAGTGCCCCGGCAGATTTCAAGAAATCCTGACCAACGTGCTGTATTATACAGCAAATCTAAAATCTGTCTTTGCAATCTGCTCTTGGATATTAAAGGTCACAGTGAGGCTCTAAAGTTCAGCGACCATTCATTGTGTAATCTGTTGCGATGTGATAACTAAATCTAGGATGTGCGAAGTAATGAATGTTAGGTTTGTATTCGACCAGACAGAGCCTGTGTTTCTTCTCCCCAGCTTTAGTGCAGCCAGTCAGTCCTTTTTATAGTCGAGGTTCCTTGTTTTCAAGACGGAATTCTCTCCGCTGTTGGTTGGTTACTTTTTCCGAGAATCTATTTGCAGTTTCTGGACTGGTTATAGTTTCCTTGTTATTTTTGCTGTTTGCTGGTAGTTATAGCACTTGCCAGAGTTCTTCTGCTCACTGTGTTGGGAAGGCTGTGTCTCTACTTCCTAAAGTTCTAAATGCAATGAATTGCAGTACTGTCCCACATTGTAACGCAACAATGCAACGTTTGCCCACAAATATACAGTCAATTCACTTTACAGTGTGTTCTGTGAAGCGCTTTGGGACGTCCTCCCGACGTGAAAAGCGCTATATCAAATGCAAGGATTATTATTATTATTATTAACAATGGTGACCGACCTTGGGCGGGGCTGATTAACTCCCCGACTTTGCTATTGTGTTCAATTCCTTCAGGGCTGATCGAGATTGTGTTGTAGTTTGCTTTTTAACCATTTCAGACTTAACTGCTCCAGAAAACCTCGTTCCCTCTCTTTATATTTCTCTACCCATTTATCTCTCCTTCCTCTGCTGAAGGTGACATTTCCTTTCCACCGAGGACCTCAATACCAAGTGTGATGCCTTGCCTGTGTGGCCATTATTCACACTTGGTGGCGTCCGCTAACTATTTGCTTGTGGAGGGCACAGCCAAAGGTACCAAGACAACACTAACTTGCATTTGTATCGCACCTTTCACACTAAAACACACACACCACATACACACCACAAATCGCTGACAGTACACGTGCCACCACAAGCTGCCAAGATCGCTGGATACTGATGAGGAGTGGGTTCCCCTCTGATTTTCTTTCTTAACCCCTCCACCACAACAGTACCGAAGCCGGTTGTTGTGCTTCAACTGTCACTGGGCTGAGATCAGTAACTCGGCAAAGACTGAGGTCAGACCAAGGCGTTCTTTTATTTTGTTCTCGCCACCAGCATCACAGTATTGGAAACTATCTTTAGTTGTTTGCTGCCTCAGCCATTGGCTTGTGAGTGTAGTTTTATTTACATGCAACGATAAGTTGCATTTATATAGCGCGCCTCACACAGGGTAGAGTCCCAGAACTATACGTTAGTGCAACTAATAATAATACTCCTTGCATTTTGATATAGCGCTTTTTATGTCTTCTGGACGTCTCAAAGCGCATCACAGAATATGCTGTAAAGTCAACTGACTATATTTGTGGGCGAAACGTCTGTTTAGAGGAAGCAATGATAATATCTTCACTATAGCTTCCTTCATTGTTGCGACTGCACATCCTTTCTTGCCGTCAGTCTGCATTTGAGTCCTGTTCCCAGCCGACATTTGAATTTTGGCTCATTGGAGGAGGAGTTTTTAGCCAGACCTTTGCTGGTGGTGGAACACTTCGCATTGGAGCAATTGCCACGCTGGCTGATTCTGTTGTATGGCACTTAGATCACATTGACAGCAACGTGAGGTGGAGTGCCGCACCTCCTGCCTGATCTGAACTCGTGTTGACAGTGAGAGAAACTTGTTGAACCAGTTCAGTTTACAGAGGTGACTCTTGTTTCACAGAATGACTAGACCAGAGCAGGGATAATAATACCAACAATAATCCTTCCATTTAATATAGCGCCATTTGATATATCACATTGTGGAGACCTCTCAAAGCGCTTCACAGTGAAGTGGATTGACTGTGTAGTTTGAGAGCGAAACACGGCAGCCAATTGCGCACAACGGTGTCCCACAAATAGTTGTGGATTGAGTGACCACATTTTTTGGGGGGAGGGATAATTACCTCCGGAAAGCTATCCGCCAATCAATTAACAACCGGGTTCCTACTTACTGCTAGTTAAACAACTGTGTGGAGTAAGGAAATTTGCCTAAGGTATCGCCCCTCCCGGGAATAGAACCCGGGTCCTAGAAAAGTTAGTTCATGGAGATCACCACGAGCGCAGATTTGACCAGCTGAATGATTTCATTCTGCGCTGCGACATTCTGCAATTCTGTGGGACTGCGGAGGACAGGTCTGGACATGCCGGAGAAAGCAAAAACAGCAGCAAGAATAGCTCCAAGAATTCATTCACAAAGCCGCAGCTAATGAGCGCAACCTGCAACGTTAACCTGTCTCGCTACTTGTGCTTATGCTTGTGACCAGCTGTGCATTTGTCTTCTGAAATTGAATCCTTTGCTCCCCCTCCCATTCACACTGGGCCTGCAACAATGCTGTTTAAAGCTGTGCATTCAGGCTCGGTTCACATTATAGGAAGCGCCTTGCATCGTGTCCTACAATGGGACTAGGGCCTGCTCCTAGCACCAACAGCCTCTGGGCACTTGGGTGTCCACTGAATCTTCTAGTGATTGTTCCCCAACTAACTGGTTTGGTCTGTGCGCTTGTAATCCTGTCTACCTTTGAATCTCCTTCTCTTCATTGACCCACCCTTTGACAGCGAAGTCAGGCGATTAATAAGCACTTGCAATAATGTACTTTCTTTCCTTATAGGGTTGACAATCTCACTACTCTAGAGGATGCCATAGATCTGGAGAAAGCAGACATTCGCAGATCATTCAGTTTCCTTTTAAGAGATCGAAACGCAGAACAGCGAGATGAACCCACCACCATGTAGCAAGTGCTATTTCATCTCGTACATCTGGACGTTGCAAGTTCTGTTGTGCTTGGTCGTGAGTAACTATGTTGTTGGGACTTTGCTGTCCTTCAGGACTTTCAATGTATCCGACACAACCTTGACTCATTTAGTGGTCCACAATAAAAGTGGAGTTGTGTACATAGGAGCTGTGAACAGCATCTACAAGTTATCGGACAACTTAACCATGCTGAGGTCCCATGTCACAGGGCCAGTGGATGACAATGAGAAGTGTTACCCACCTCCCAGTGTCCAGTCCTGCCCCCACGGACTGGTGCACACCAATAACATGAATAAGCTCCTTCTCATCGACTACACCCAAAACAGATTAATCGCTTGTGGAAGTGCATCCCAGGGAATATGCCAGTTCCTTCGGTTGGATGACCTTTTTAAGCTCGGAGAGCCCCACCACCGCAAGGAACACTACCTATCAAGTGTCAATGAGGCGGGTACCATGTCTGGTGTGATCATCGAGGGGTCCAACGGGACCAACAACAAGCTCTTCATTGGTACTCCCATCGACGGCAAATCGGAATATTTTCCAACCCTTTCCAGCAGGAAACTGATGGTCAATGAGGAAAATGCAGAAATGTTTGGCTTTGTGTATCAGGATGAATTTGTTTCATCTCAACTCAAAATCCCATCAGACACCCTTTCCAAGTTCCCGGCCTTCGATATCTATTACATCTACAGTTTCAGCAGCGAGCAATTTGTTTATTACCTAACACTGCAGCTCGACACACAGCAGACGTCACCGGATTCCAGCGCCGAACAATTCTTCACGTCCAAGATTGTCCGACTCTGTGTGGATGATCCCAAGTTTTACTCCTACGTGGAATTCCCCATCGGATGCCTCAAGGATGGTGTGGAGTATCGCCTCATCCAAGACGCCTACTTGACCAAACCCGGCAGAATCCTAGCAAAATCTTTGGGAATCTCTGAGAAGGAAGACATCCTCTTCACAGTCTTTTCTCAGGGCCAAAAGAATCGAGTGAATCCGCCCAAGGAATCTGCTCTGTGCCTCTTCACCCTGAGGAAAATCAAAGAGAAGATTAAGGAGCGGATTCAATCTTGCTACCGGGGAGAAGGGAAGCTTTCGTTACCGTGGCTCCTCAACAAAGAGCTGGTCTGCATTAAATCAGTAAGTACAAACATCCGATATACATGGGTCACTGGTGGCACTGTCAATTTTGAGCTGGTAATCCTGGTCCACTGAAATTTGTCATTTCCCTCCTCTTTTCGAGGTGCAGTCTTTTCCGCGTCGCTTAGCATAAGCGTTGGCAAGGTATTCCATTGTGGCAGCTTTACAGCTAAATCTGATCTTGAAATCCACACATGAGCACAGATGGTTGGATTGTGATCAGTGATTGTGGGAACCTTGCTGATTTCCCCCTTTCCCTCAGCAATGGTTGACTGAGGCTCATAGTATGATGCATGTACTATCACACCCGTTGATATCAGTTAATTCAGCCCAGTCCTCAAATAAAACCTGGGACATTCTGGATTAGTTTCACACTATTGAGTCTTCTGAAAGGTTTGACTGTTTTTAATGGCTTTTCAAACACAAATTGAAAATGCGACTATGTACAACAAATTAAATTACAAAATGCTTGATGATTCTTAATTGGTGACGACTGGTGGGAATAGAATGCTTGGGTAGCCGTCTAGGTGACACGTGTGGGCTCTTAACTTCGTTCTGAGAGCATTTTCTCAAGGCTGCCTTCTGTTGACTTTAAGGGAAAATCTGGGCTGAAATACACTCCTGCAGTCTCAACCTCCCTGACTGCTCACTCCAGCTCACATAGCCAACACACAATCTTGACATTTTGTTTGACCATCACCTCGTCTTTAAGCCTTCACCCAGTCCCCGACCAAGTCCGCTTTCTTCCATCTGCATCATCGCCATCCCTGTCTCTCCCCAACACAAAAAAAAACCCTCATCCATGTCTGTCACTTCCGGACTTCACTTCTCCAGTCACCGACTTCTCCAGCTTAACCTTCCACAAGTTTCCAATCATCCAAATCCCTCCGCCTCGCACCTCGCTATGCTTTCCCAACCCTTCTTAAAAAAAACTATTGCTCTGACTGTACACACTTACGCTATAGAGACTTCTATCCTGTCTCTGTGGAGAAGGGTGCTGTGTATATACGAGTGGATGTTTCTCACACCTGAGAACACTGCTGCTGTTGAATTATTCTGTGGTTTGAGCTCTTGTACACTTTGTTTAGCGTTTAGTTTTAGAAAGTTTTGAAGAAAATTTGTAACTGGAGATTCCGTTCCGCAGGTCATTGAGTAATGACTCTCGCAATTTGCCAGTGCTGGTTTGGAACCAACCTCTAGAAGGTGGGTGAGAATGAAAAGGATAAATTTCCAGACAGTTAACATTCAGTTTTCATCTGTCACTGTGTGAGTTTAAAAATAATCCCTGATGTGATGTGCTCAGTGGCTGCTCCATGACAGGTGAACACTTATCACCCAAGCATTGGGCTGAGTGCAACGATGGAGTTCAGTCAGTTTTTCAGAATTGCTGGGGTTTGTTTTTTGATCAGCCGAGAGTCTGACATTGAGGTTTCAGCATCGAACGGGTTAAGCACACACTTCGGTGCTTTATATTTTTTTGAAAGAACAACCTGCTGTAAATGTGTTTATGCTGTGCTAAGTGTCTGAGCAGCCATCTGCTTCACAAATCGGCTCAGCTTGGAATCCCTAAATCTGCAATGTTGCAAACGTTTTCTGTTCTGGTTAAGAACCCACTTGGTGCTGAGAGAACACAGCAGTAACTGTGCAGCTAAGCAGCCCTGGCAGCCTTTCAGTTTCAATTGGCCTAATTAAATCCCCAGTTTTATCCAGCTGACCTGTGCCTACAATTCTAAAGTATGCGTCCAGTCTGAAAATGCCAATGCCAAACTCTTGACAAGTTTGCTTGAACAAGTATAAATTCCACCTGCCTCCCTTTCCCCCCTGCTATGGCTTCTGTTCCTAGATCTCACCCACGGGGCTGTGTCATTCGAGTGCAGGTCCGCGGGAAGGCTTCACAGCCAAGCCTCCATGATCCTTTCCTCAACTGGAGCTTGCAACTTGCACCAGGATGACAGGCTGGACCCGGTCTGTAATGAAGGGCCCTCACCTGCTACTGTCCTGCATCATCTGTTCCGCATCCTTGCATTTGATATCACGCTCTCCACATCTGAACGATGTGTTAAAACGGTTCACAGGATTTCACTCATGGAGAGTAGTGGCTGTATTTTGTAGGCAACTGTGGCGGCCAATTTGCGCACAGCTATGTTACATAAACAGCCTTGAAACGAGCGACATTTTTTTCTGGGGGATTGTTGGCCAGGACAAGGGAACAATTCCTTGTGTTTTTGAGTAGTGCTTTGGGATCTTTAACATATACCTGAACAGACAGAAAGTAATTACATTAAACGTCTCATCTAACGGATGGCACCTCCAACAATGTCGTGCGTCCCTAGTATCGTATTTGTTTGCCAAGACTAACTTCAAAGTCCCATCGTGGGGCTTGAACCCACAACTATCTGGCTCTGAGGTGAGGCTCCGACCAGCTGAGCCAATCTGATACTTGATCCAATCCTTTGGACCCGCAAGTTGTAGCCACTGCCCTATTGATCTGAGCACAAGTATTGGTGGGAGAGCAAAGTGTCTAGGCAAGACTTTATGTAGGAATCTATAACCCGCTTATGGGACATCCAGAGAGAGCTGATGGGTATTCACGGGGGTAAAAAGCTTTGTTATTTAAAAGAAATTGCCCAGCATGGTTAACTTGTTTACCTGGTAAAACTAGAATGAGCACTTTGCCCTCAGCTAGTTAATTGCTAAGTGTAATGATTTATTGATGCTGTGTCAGTGATCGTACTGTCTATCAGTCACTGTGTACAGCTGTATTTGTTGTTTCACAGTGTTTATTGAAACAGTGACACAGTTGGAGCTGAGCGCAGTAATGATGATGAGCGGGTACAGTAATGTCTGAACATCATTGAAAGATTATACACAAAAAAATTACCAAATCTGGGAACCTTCAGTGTTTAGCTAACTTGTGGTTGACTGTCCAGCGCCTTGGGACGTCCTCCTGACGTGACAGGCGCTATACAAATGTAATTTTTTGTTTGTTGTTGTGGGGAAATGATTTAAGCTGAAACCTACAATGGGTACGCAATGTGGGTTTCGAGGAGTCGCAAATACAGATGGATCACACAGTGTCACTACCTGTTTCATTAAGCAACCATGAAAAGAAGCTGAATTAGGAACATGGGAACCTAGGCCATTCACCCCATCGAGCTTGTTCCAACAGTTTATTGGAGCTTGGCTTTTAATTCCACTGCCTTGCTCTTTCGCCTTAACCTGCAATACCTCTACTACCCGAGATCTCTCATTGAAACTTTCCTATTGATTCCGCATTTGCAAGTTTTCTGGGGCAAAGTATTCCACATCTCCATAATCCTCTGTGGAAAAAAAAATACCTCCTGACTCAGTTCTAACGGTCTTGGCTCTGGTTTTTAAGACTTATTTAACTTATTTGACCCCTATCTGCTCAGGCAAATTCGATTTTTAATGATCTATGGTCTTGAACCACTTTATTCACTTTCTCTCTGCTCACCTGTCCTCTGGAACTCCATCCCACAGTCCCCCCCGTCTCGCCCCCTCCCTTGCCTCCTTCAAGACCAGTCTAAAGACCCTCCTTTGTTTACCTAACAGTAAGCAGGAACCCGGTTGTTAGTCGATTGGTGGATCGATTTTCTTCAAAATAAATAACTAAAGAATAATTTGGTCACTCAATCCACGAATTGTGGGACACTGATGTGTGCAATTGGCTGCCGCGTTTCACCCACAAAATATACAGTCAACTCATTGCACAGTATATTCTGTGAAGTGCTTTGAGATGTCTCGAAGACAGGATAAGGGAGGAAAGCTTGGGCTTGTTCTCCTGAGATGAACTCGTCATTTTGTAATAGTCCTTGATTTAATATAGTGCCTCTTACACCTGGAGGACACCTCAAAGTGCTTCAAACAAACTTATTTTAAAGTGTAGTGATAGCGTAGGCTTTAGGTACAGCATTATCCCACAATTGACCTGCAATTTTATCTGGGAGATTATTGGCCAGGACACTGTTTCAAGATGATGGAATTAAATTACTTGTACTCAAGTTCTGTGTAATGTATTAAAACAAGTTTACTGGTTACTGTTTTGTGGAGTCCTGTAGCTCAGTGGTTAGAGCACTCACCTCACAAGCGAGAGACCTGGGTTAGATTCCTGGCAGGGCGAAACCTTGGGCAAGTTTCCTCACTCAACATGTCCGATGACAATCCCTCAAGAAAATAAATATTAAAAAAAGTGGAGTCCTGTAGCTCAGTGGTTAGAGCACTCACCTCACAAGCGAGAGACCTGGGTTAGATTCCTGGCAGGGCGAAACCTTGGGCAAGTTTCCTCACTCAACATGTCCGATGACAATCCCTCAAGAAAATAAATATTAAAAAAAATGTGGTCACTCAGTCCACGCCTGTTTGTGGGACACTGCTGTGCCCAATTGGCAGCCAGGTTTCGGCCACAAATTATAGTCAATTCACTTCACAGTATATTGTGTGAAGTGCCTTGAAATGTCTGGAAGATGTGAAAAAGCGCTATAATCAAATGCAAGGATTATTATTTTATTGAGTGGAATGAGCTCCTCAAGTTGAATTGTGGGATTTGAAGAATGGGGACTTCAGGATATTTTGCCCATTGTGCCGTCCTTCAAATGTGACGTTAAACCAAAGTCTGTCTGTTGTATTCGTTCAAGAGGATGTTGAAGATCCCATGGAGGCTATTTAGAAGGCGTATGCTGCGTTCTCTGTGTCCTGTCTTAATATTCCTCTCTCATCCAAATTCGTCAAAACAGATTAATTAATCATTAATCTCATTTCTACCTCCATGACATTGCTGGTGCAGATTCAATGTCACATGTGTCTCTTTTAACAGCTACTCTTGTTAACGTAACTTGGGTGAAGGCCTTTTTGTTTTTTTGCCCTATATTAAGGCAAGAATTTGTAATGCATTCTGTTGGTGATTGATGCAGAGGAATGTCATGACTTGTAAGTAAGCTCATCGATGAGTGTGACTGGCCACATGTTTCCTGTGTGGCTTT